ATATCACATTCACAGATGGATATGTTTTCCTTAAAAAAAAAATGATATTATTATTATTATTATTTAATTACTGAATGCCTTAAAAGTTATTAAAACTTGAACCAAAAACAAAATTAACAAAAGAAAACAATTGTTTTGACTCTTCCTGAAAATCAGTCCGGATCTGGTTTCAGTATGAGAAAACATTAAAAACAAACTTTCAACGTAACCCTCATGATGATAGAATAGAACAGAAGCATTTTTGCTAGTTGTGACATCCGAAAGAAGTCACTAGCCCCGGGCTAGTAAGCCTCTAAATTCCACTAGCCCAAGCTGAAAATCTGGGAGCCCCAGGCGTCGGGCTAGTGGATTTTAACATGTGCATAATTGTATAGGAATGGATAGGTACAGTTAACAAAAAATACTTTTAAGCACTAGCAAATCTTCTACAATTACAACAAATGTTTTTTACAGGTAAATATACTTTAAGTTTAATTTTACAAAATTATATTATTTTGTATCCGTTTGATCATTGCAGTTGACTTTGATTGAGGAAGCATTAGTGTTTGCGATGAAATCAATTCATTATGTATGATGTTGGAATGGTGATTGAGGGAAGGGAAAAATCTTCAGTAATAATTGCATAGAGCTTCACACATAAAAGTCTATAATTGAAAGAATTAATCCAATAGGCACTATCTGATGAATACAAAGATTTGTTATGAGAAAAATGGTTAGTTCCGGGCAGTTAGATAATTTATCTGTTATCAGTGCTAGTTAAAATGTTAATTGATATGTTGGTTGCTTTATCCTACGTGTCAGTAATTTATCTAACTTTTTTATGTTGTATGCAACATTGGTCAAAGTTTAATAATCTTTCAATTTTGTACTTTGGTCGATGTGTCGAATTTATCATGCTGGTCTGACTGATAAATACTCAAGATTATCTTTATTAGCATTTGAATATGAAAATCATTGCATTTAATAAGAGTCATTCTACCTTTACCTGTTCAATAAGTTAACAATATTGCAGTCATGCTTGATCATGATCTTAGCTCATGTTGTAGACACAAACTATCTTGGCGTTGTTACCTTCATTACCTGAATATTGCTCAATAGCTGCCCATTATGACACAAAAGTTGGTCATAATTAATACAAAGGGGTGCTGTATATTTTATGTATGAGAAACGCCGAAGACTGTTCATTCTGTGAGAGGATGGCCAGGTCTTGGCATTTCTTCCTTACATATTCATACTGGCCGGTTACATTTCTTGTGAAGGTTTGAAAACATTTTTATTTATGATCTGTCTATAATACATTTAAGCTTCCTGAGACTGGTCCCTGTGCTACACGTTTTTCCATGCAATTTGAACAAACTGTTGTTTACCACACAAATGACATGAAGTAACAGAGTTGACGCAATGCCAACAAATATTATATGTGTATAGAAAATCGATAACATATAGATAAATATAAATATTCCATTCATAATGAATGCATAAATTATTCAAATAAATCCAATAAATATAAATAATATTCATAAAGTCGATGTAATAATTATAATCATCGACTGGGAAATTGCCAAATTTTATAATTTAAACAAAGTTACAGACAACAGAAAGACAGTACATCCAAGCACGTTAAATAAGTTATTGAAAAAAAAAATAAAAAAAAATACACACAATAGCCGAACCTAATGAAACAATAAACTGTTGGGATTTAAACCAACATAATATTTTTATAGGTAACCGTGAACCAACGTTTTCATTGTTCAATGTCATTGTTCATGGACATTCACATCTTTATTTTCGCAGTTATTTGACTAAGTTACTGGCGTGACTAAGGGCCATAAGATAGACACACTGAGTTCGTTTAAAGGGTCGATTTATAGACATCTAAAGACAATATCAATGAATATATCAAATAGATACTATAAACGAATCTACTTCATGATAAAGGGTGAAAGGTCATTCACTGCATCTGGGAAGGTCTCATCATAACAACAAAATAGTATACACATCTATCATGTTCATCCCCAAAAATCATAGAATGGGCTCAAAGGTTAACTCATTTTAAGGTGTTTTGGTACAAAAACGTCTGCATATTTTGTTATAAAACTTCATTAATTCATGTATTATCACTAAGTAATATGATATGCTACAAAGGGAATACTTATTACTTTAAGATGTCCGTTCTGACTCGTCTTGTGCACACCGCTTCCAAGGACTGTATTTAGACTCAACCCGCCAAAGCTTCAAACCCTATCAACTCTACATTTTTCCCCGCCCGTTAATCTGCACACTAATGATATGGAGTTGGGATTAAGGCGTTACCTCGACAGACAGTTTATTATATATCCGTGCATCACCATAACATTCATAGATGTTTTCATCAATTTTATTCAAACTTATGGCAAGAACCATAAATTCAGGTATATTATGAAATGTATGGCATTATTCAGAAGAATATTACAATTTATATAAAAATGGCGGAGACATTGTGCCATTAAATACATACGAGACATCTAGCAAGATATTTACCCAGCAGTTTTAGATATGTGGTGGCACGGCATATTCCTGTACTCGAGACACTAAACTTGCACCTATCTATGGACAGTGCGAATATCTTTAGAAGACAAAGGTGGACTGGATTACATGGGCGAGTGATGGACTGAATATAACCTTCTTGCACAAATGATAGTCGATAGATCAGATGGGTTATGTGCATATTTCATAAGTTTTCATGTTAGTATTTCTAGAATGGCCTGTGATGGTGGACTAATATGTGTATCATTAAGTGTGTAACAAAGATGATGTGATATTGTGTTTGGTGGTGTATCGTTTGTTTACACTGGAGACAGTTATAGATATAGATTTGTGTGTGTTGATTCTCTGTAGCCGATACGCATGACTAAACGTTGGCTTGTATCTCCAGGTGTCAAGCATTTAAACAGGGTATCAATTTGTATATCATGAAGCATTGTAAATGATTATATGCCTATCTATACGATTCATATACTGTTTCATGGAAAACATTGTACTTGCACTGGCACATTCATCTTTATTTTTAAATATTGACACTGATGAAAAAAATTCTGAATCCCCAAAATAATTAAGGTTGAAACGTCTAATATCCTCCCAATCCCCAATTAGGTGTTTGGCCTTTTAAATCTATTTTGCACAGAGATACCCTCCCCGCCTCCGATTTAAATAACTATTTCAACTAAACCTATCATAGATTAATCCCATTATGAATTCAACCACTTCCCATTCTGAATTGAACCACGTCTTTTTTATCAAGGATAAAAAGGACAACAAATTAGCAGGGGAAAAGTATTCCCTGCTTTTTCATTTCAGATCTTGTACAATGTCAATCATACATAAAAAAAATCCTTTCAATTTCTCTCCCCAACATATTCAAAATACACGTTTCTTGATCAACTATTCACTTTTTTTTGTCCAGATTGCAGTATTTTGATAGCAAAACGTGTACATCGGCAGATTAATTGTTATGCGTGTATCTCAGTCATCTTCCCCTCTCTTAACCTACGACCATACAGCAGTGTGAAAAAATCAAGGAATTGCAGGTTGATTCCGTTGACAGATCAGGATCCGTGTAGTGTAATTATCAATGCATAATTTAAGCATTTCTTTCAATAATTGTCACCAGATATCTATATTTTAAAATGTTTTAAAACAATTGGTCCATTTCTTGAATTAAGAAAGGCAGACATTGCAACCTGATAAACGCAGTATTTTGCTTCATACATAATGCTGTCTGCTATCCTTTTCTGGTTCCTTTCATTTCAAATCCTGATGAAGATGTTCGTTCAGGTGGCTGGACCAAATGAAATGCACCTGGTTAGATGAATTAAATAGGTGTATTTATGTGACTATATTAAATTATATTACAGTGTTAAATGCATATACTTCAATAAATTATCTTATGTTGACAGCAAATGTGGGATTTATACTCATTTGAGTAAGGGGAGACAATGTTTTGATGGAAATGTTATTACCTCCACTGACAGAAAAACGCATAAGAGGGCAGACATGACAATTTGATTTGGGAAAGATTTAGCACCTCAATTCTACAGAAATCTTTTCGCTCAGCACTAATTGTACTCCAAAAGTATGTGTCAAACATATTCCTCTGCATTCTGTACTTCAGCCAGATTTGTTATTACATGGTATTTAACTATAAAACTAGTTTTTCTGCTAGAGCCAGAACGGCCTGATGTTCCCCTCTTCTGTGTAGTATGCAGTTGTGTTCCTGTCTCCTAGTGTCCAATATGTAGGTCAGTGCTCATTTATTGAATAATAAACATTTCTTTTAAAAATCTTTCAGATCTCTGAAATAAATTCGATGAAAAATAATCTTGGTTTTAATTTATTTCTCATGTAGACAATCAGTTTATTTTGTGTGTGGGTGTGTTGTTGTTCTAATTACAGTAAATTGTTTGTGATTTTGTCTTGACAATCTTCCGTTTCATTCCCAGAATCAAACTCTGGAAACCTGTCTTTAAAAGTGAAATAACACGTGAACATGTTGATGTGTCACTGGCAAATTAAACAAATATTATAATATATATATATATATATATATATATATATCTTTAAAGTTGAACTTGGTTTTAGATAGTATCGATATATATGTTTTTGATACTGTAGCCTGGATACAGTGTATCACTTGAAACATTTTGTACCACAAATTAATCTTAATAGTGTTCTGAGGGTAAAATGTATTTGGGCCAGATAAGGACTCGAACCCATATCCTCATCATTATAATGTTGTGCTTGCCAGTTTTGGTCAGCGGTTGTACCCTGGCTCATTTACGGCACAGACAGGAACATTTCAAACAAAGTAAGGGGAGGTTAATTGTTTTATGTACAAATACTATATAAGAATTATTTAGCGTTTTGCCTACTGTCGGAAAATGATCCTTAAATTTTACATTGGTATTTTAATACCTTATTACCAGGTTAACCTAGTAGTAAATGGACAACCAATAATTCCACAGTGATTAGTAAAGGGAAAGTTTATTACAAAACAAGCAACATCAATACACACCGGCCCATAGAAAAGCATGTAGTAGTTATGCAATACTTAGATTTTGATTATTACAAGGAAGGGGTAAAAATGACCCACATACACTATACACACACTACACGTTACTGTGCTCACAAATAATACAGCTTATGGATTCTTATACCACGACCGACAATTGTAATCAATGGACATTGTTTTTCTTGCATGACTATAACTTTGATAGATTATTTATGAAAAGAAAACCATACCTTTCGAGGCTTTTATGACAACAATGAGGTGAAATAAACAAATTTCAAGCAACAACAACAAAGATCTGATGACGTCCGTAGGGGTTAGACTAGCAATCGAACCCTAGACCTCCAATTTTAATATAGTCGTTCTAACCGACTAAGCTGACGGGTCAAATGAAGTGTCCTGACATAATTGTTATCCAGTTACATCCAAAACAAAATTCAATGGAATTAACTGTATATAAAAAGCAACGAAAGCAGTGGGACAGTGATCCTCATATAGTTTACATCAAATTATTTCCACATTGTCAGATGAAAATTTATGCAGATAATGGGATGGCGTACTGGTGATATAAAAAGGCATAGGACTTCTAACCTTGGCCTCCGAGAACATTTGTAGAAATGACACTAGCAGGTGTCACGTAGTGTATATATTTATACTTGCAAAGCTGTTATCCGATCTGGAAGCATATGTAATTATTATTTGACGATGTGCAATTCTAATTATTAGTCACATGGCAATCTAAAACAATAGTTTAATTGGATATATTCTATAATGGAATGATTGTATGTCTTAACGACAAGTTCCAAAGGAACACACAAAGGCATCTATGGATAACGAGCAACCCTGAAACTCAAGGGAGATAACTCTTTCAAAAATTAAAATATTAATTCACATCTGTCAACTCATTGAGAATGTGTTTGGTCACACCAGATAATACAGTTCATTACCAGATGAAAGTTATTACATAGATGGGTCATTGTTTTCACTAGAAATTCAGAAACATGACCAGTATAATCCTATCTTACATGATAGTTGCTGAAATGATCGTCACACATTATATGTTTGATACCCAACAGAAGTACAACAACCAATAACGTGTTGTTGTCACATAACAATTTACATGTATTTTCACAATGATGTTTGCATAATTGAATAATACCAGCAGAAATTAGCAAAGGTATTATAGATAGATTTTTTTATTTTTCAATGTTGAGGATGCTGAAAATAATGTTACTCATTATGACCAGATATCAGACTCGATCTGTTGTTGACAGGAATGATCCATCAGGTATTGCATATTTCATTTAGGTGACTTTGGACAAATTTTAGACAAAAATTATGTACATACATATTTAAATAAATTCACATATTATTATTTCAAAATTTCTGTAAATAACAACTGCTGAAACTAAACATTGACAATTCAATCAAGTTAAACTACTGAAACTACCAAACTAACTAAGTTTAGATCGAAACAGGTCAACACATGCGTCACCCCCTAAACCTTGTATACTTCGAATCCAATTAATACATTCCCGATAGGGCTGACCTTGGAATCGGTCATGTCAAAGTCATGGCAGTAAACTTTAAGATTGTTTTCAATTACAAAATCTTGGTCACTCACTAGGCTGAACTAAACTTGAAGGTCTGTCTTCTTTACCGTCATGGCATCCACGGCGATTCTTTTGATCTTTTTCAAAGTCTTTGACCCTGTATACCACAAGGGATCACGTAAAAAGTCTCCCATTTTGTCAAGGCATATTCCAAGAGCGGATCCCTTGAATTTGGAGGATGCCCTTGCCTATTTGTTGTAATTTGTGCATACAAATACAATGATGATTTGTAATGTAAATATTGCTTCAATGTACTGCATAGGCTATAACAGAAAGACATAGTCCAAGTGTGGTCAAGTACATTATACGGGTTATGGAATATATGCTCTCAAAGGCATTTCCTAGAATACTGAAAACCCATTTTTTCTAAATTTATCTTAACTTTATTTTTTATTTACTGTTGATTGGCTTGACGAGCTTGCCTTGTAAGTTTTCTACGGAAAAATGTCATAGTTTACTATGTATATAATTATATGGAGAGTCAGGATCACAATCGATAGTCCAGTCCTTGTACATATCTCAGTATTAGTAGGAGATGACGGTCTACAATTTAAATGATGAGTTTGATTTAATCACTGGTGTACTTAAGTCGTTTTACTTTCCTATTGCTACCATGCACCACCCACAGAACTCCCTGCTTGTCTACACAAACACCGTTTGGTCTGTATATGTCAGTATACAGCAATCCCAGATATTGTCCATCACCACTCAGCAGATGTAGACAGTTGTTGTTGAAGTCAGTCACCACCAGTTGTCCCAATCTGTCGTACGTTACACACGTGGGGTAGAACGTCTGGGATTCAGGCCTACTGCCGTGTTGGTGTGGTCCGTACCTGTATACCTCCTGTAGATGTTTGTTCAACACTATTATGTGTTTTTCAATTGACCAATCTCCATCAAGTACAGCAACATTCTCACTGACCGGACACTCCGATATCATCATTGGTGAACGCATTAGTGGTTCCGTTGACGGTGATGTTGTCATGAGACTTTTCTTTCCTTCTCGAGTGTACTTGATGATTCCGTGTTTCGTCCCCACAAGGACATGGCCATCTTTAGTAACACACAGACACATAGGTTTATCCCTCGTGTTGAATTTACGGACCAATGAACTTGATGTCAACCATTTACCTGATTTCAGCTTCATGACACTGTTATCTTCCCTAGAGCATACCCAGACTTTTTGTGTAGAGGGAGACATACAGATGTGTGTTACTTCAACAGGACTAAATATCGCCTGCTGTATTCCTCCCTTACTGGTCAGCTGTGTCAAATGTAAGTAAGGTCCATATGCCCAAGCACCTTTATCGCTAGCAGGACAGATATACTTGATCACAGATGGAGCATCCCATTTTGACAGAACTGAAATGATTGGTAGAATAGTGGGAAGTTTTGTTGAATTGGTCATATCGTACGGCATTTGGTCTGAAGGTCGCGTTAGCTGCTTGTCTGATGGCTCGGCGGTTTTTTCGACTTCAGCAGAAACATGATAATCACTTTGACCAGAAGAAGTCAAGATAATTTTCCCCAATGCAGACGTTAAAGCTTCTTTAGGATTTTTGCTTTGACTGATCTTGGCGGTCCCAAGGACTGGTCTTCTAGGTAATGTGATGTCTGTGTTAAGCCTTCTGGTAACGTCAAACACCTTGATATCTGTGCCAGTCTGAAGGGTTTCCTTACACTGATTTAGTTGATCTTTCAATTCTGCAAGTTTCATTTGGAGTTCTGTCTTGTAACTAGTGAGGAGTTGGGTATTTTCATCTTCTAAATGTTTCAACTGTGAAAGTGTTTCAGCTGTTAAAACATCAATGTCTTCTTTTAGTTTCGTTCCTTTCCTTTTCACTTCTTCTGCCACACTCTTGAAATGGCTAAGGTGTTTTTCCAGACTCTCCTGGTTTGAATTGATTTCCTGTTGTATTTGAATCAGCTCCTTTTGTTCTGTTTCATTGATGAACGTTTTTATTTTACGTTTGTTGTTTGGAGTGACTTCACTCAACGGAACAATGTCATGACCTTTGTGTGAAGTAGAAATACAATTGGCACATATGACGTCACGACATGTCTCACAGAACCAGTCCAAAGTATTCCCTTTGTGATGTACGCATGTCGCATGACCTTGACCCCAGACAACTGATTGTCCCTTTTCTGCCATTTTAACTGATGATGAATGCTTACGTGGTAGTCAATATGTGGTAACACACTAAACCCTTCTGGTAGTTAATAATCTATGGTAATACACTGCACATCTGTGGTAGTCAATATTCTATGGTAATACCCTGCACATCTGTGGTAGTCAATATTCTATGGTAATACACAGCACATATGTGGTAGTCAATGGGCTGTGGTAATACACTGCACATATGTGGTAGTCAATATTATGTGGTAATACACAGCACATATGTCGTAGTCAATATTCTATGGTAATACACTGCACATCTGTGGTAGTCAATAGTCTGTGGTAATACACTGCGCATATGTGGTAGTCAATATTCTGTGGTAATACACTGCACATATGTGGTAGTCAATCTTCTGTGGTAATACACAGCACATATGTCGTAGTCAATATTCTGTGGTAATACACTGCACATCTGTGGTAGTCAATATTCTGTGGTAATACACTGCACATCTGTGGTAGTCAATAGTCTGTGGTAATACACTGCACATATGGGGTAGTCAATATTCTGTGGTAATACACAGCACATATGTCATAGTCAATATTCTATGGTAATACACAGCACATATGTCGCAGTCAATATTCTATGGTAATACACTGCACACCTGTGGTAGTCAATAGTGTGTGGTAATACACAGCACATATGTCGTAGTCAATATTCTATGGTAATACACAGCACATATGTCGCAGTCAATATTCTATGGTAATACACAGCACATATGTCGTAGTCATTATTCTATGGTAATACACTCCTCATCTGTGGTGGCTGATATTTTATGGAAACACACTCCACAGTTGTGGTAGTCAACGCTTTTCAATATTCTATGGTAATACACTGCACATCTGTGGTAGTCAATATTCTATGGTAATTCGCTGCACATCTGTGGTAGTCAATATTCTATGGTAATTCGCTGCACATCTGTGGTAGTCAATATTCTATGGTAATACCCTGCACATCTGTGGTAGTCAATATTCTATGGTAATTCGCTGCACATCTGTGGTAGTCAATATTCTATGGTAATACACAGCACACATGTCGTAGTCAATATTCTATGGTAATACACTGCACATCTATGGTAGTCAATATTCTATGGTAATACACAGCACACATGTCGTAGTCAATATTCTATGGTAATACACTGCACATCTGTGGTAGTCAATAGTCTGTGGTAATACACTGCGCATATGTGGTAGTCAATATTCTGTGGTAATACACAGCACATATGTGGTAGTCAATAGTCTGTGGTAATACACTGCGCATATGTGGTAGTCAATATTCTGTGGTAATACACTGCACACCTGTGGCAGTCAATAGTCTGTGGTAATACACTGCACATATGGGGTAGTCAATATTCTGTGGTAATACACTGCACATATGTCGTAGTCAATATTCTGTGGTAATACACTGCACACCTGTGGTAGTCAATATTCTATGGTAATACACAGCACATATGTCGTAGTCAATATTCTGTGGTAATACACTGCACATCTGTGGTAGTCAATAGTCTGTGGTAATACACTGCGCATATGTGGTAGTCAATATTCTGTGGTAATACACTGCACATATGTGGTAGTCAATAGTCTGTGGTAATACACTGCACATATGGGGTAGTCAATATTCTGTGGTAATACACAGCACATATGTGGTAGTCAATATTCTGTGGTAATACACAGCACATATGTCGTAGTCAATATTCTATGGTAATACACTCCTCATCTGTGGTGGCTGATATTTTATGGAAACACACTCCACAGTTGTGGTAGTCAACGCTTTGTGATAGTCAATATTCCGTGGTAAAACAATCCTCATTTGTGGTAGTCAATATTCTGTGGTAAAACAATCCTCATCTGTGGTAGTCAATATTTCGTAGTAAAACAATCCTCATTTGTGGTAGTCAATATTCCGCGGTAAAACAATCCTCATTTGTGGTAGTCAATATTCCACGGTAAAACAATCCTCATTCGTGGTAGTCAATACTCCGCGGTAAAACAATCCTCATTTGTGGTAGTCAATATTCCGCGGTAAAACAATCCTCATCTGTGGTAGTTAATATTTCGTGGTAAAACAATCCTCATTTGTGATAGTCAATATTCCGCGGTAAAACAATCCTCATTTGTGGTAGTCAATATTCCGCGGTAAAACAATCCTCATTTGTGGTAGTCAATATTTCGTGGTAAAACAATCCTCATTTGTGATAGTCAATATTCCGTGGTAAAACAATCCTCATCTGTGGTAGTCAATATTTCGTGGTAAAACAATCTTCATCTGTGGTAGTCAATATTCCGCGGTAAAACAATCCTCATCTGTGGTAGTCAATATTTCGTGGTAAAACAATCCTCATCTGTGGTAGTCAATATTCTGTGGTAACACACTCCGTACCTTATGTAGTCATTGTTCTGTAATCTTTTGTTACACACTCCACAGGTTAGCTTGTATCGTTTGTATCATTACTGCAAAGAAATATAAGGAAAAACTGTGAGTGTTTATAATTAGAACGAAAATAAATAACGTATTTTTCAGTTTAATAGAAATTATAGTTTAATTACGTAGACGTTTGAAATATGAGTAATAATCACATCTGTTATGGAATGATATTGTCCTTAAATCGGTTTTAGTTTACATATATAATATTTTAAATGATTAGAACACCTGCTCATTGACATTTAAAGAATGAGTGTCTATAAGGCCTTTTTTTGGGCCCCGTAATATCCAGATTTGCACCACCTTATTGTCATATTGTATTATATGTGCAAAAAAACTAAGGCAACAGTTTGACCGAAAGTGGGTTTTAGGGGTACGAAAAGGGGTAGGGTAAATCACAAATATAATTTGCCGTTTTCAAAATGAGCTAAAATAACCAAAATAATACCATTTCTAATTTTGAAAACATGCGTGAATGAAACAGGCATCAATAAAAGAATGAAAAATAGCAGAAATTCAATCGTCACTTAAAGATGATTAATTTAAAACGGGGTTCTTTTAAGATAGAGAGATATCTAAAATCGCCAAGTTTGAGATGTGTCCAGAAGCCATAATTCAGTTTAAAAACAAAATGAATGTGTGTAGTGAATATGTACCTCGTGTAAGTTTACTCAATTGAGTAATGTTGTAAATTTCAACTCACAATATGAATTAGAAAGAAAATTATTGAGAAAACAAACCATTATTCATTTGCAAATTGCCTAAAAGAACCTCCTGACTTAATCCTCCGTTTTATATAAACAATCTTTAAGTGACGATTGAATTTCTGTCATTTTTTATTCTTTTGTATATGCCTAGCTGTTTAGTTTACACATGTTTTCAAAAACAGAAATGGTACTATTTTAGTTTTTAAGCTCATTTTGAAAACAGCAAATTATATTTGTGATTTACCCTACCCCTTCAGGTACCCCAAAAATCAACTCTGTCAAACTTTTACCTTAGTTTTTGCGCATGTAATGCAATAGGACATCTGTGAACAAATTAAGGAGGTTAACATCCGAAAATTCCGGGGCCAAAAAAAGGGCCTAATAAACACTCATCCTTTCATCGAAAGTCATTGATGTAGATAATTTTTTAAACTTAAGGGCGTGGTAGCCGTCGGGTCAGAGGGGCTTTCGACAATTATGAGAAACGAGTAAAGTATTAGAAATACTATGTTCTTATAGGTATAACAGTTTTGTGAATGTAGGAAAAGTACTGTAGAAGTAATGCTTCGGACAAACATGATCGAGTGTCAACAAAAGATCTCAGAAGGATATTGCTGTCTACCATCTTAAAACCTTGATAGGTTCTATTTGAGTTTGGTCTTTCATTTGTCTCATCTTTTGGACAGAGTTATGTCAACAGTTAATGCATCTTGAGGTAACATTTAATTTAAAATTCATACTGCTGTATATGACAAAAAAAATTATAGAGAGGTTGTCATTTGACCTATTTACTAACATAGTACGTAATGTGTCACAAGGGGAACATACATTTTGAATTAGAGAGAGATCTCGAGCACTTCTTGGGGGAGAGCGGATACCAAATACTTGTATTCAACGATGGCTTGCTGGTGGCTTATCCCCCCCCCCCCCCCCCCCCCCCATCAGCCTCAAAATGAAACAGGCAAAACCGATGACGAATTGAAATCTGATTTTGACATTTAAGATATATCTGTCAAGTACTTTTAAATAACTAGGTAATTACAAAATTGAACTGTCATAATTCAAGATGGAAGTCTGAAAAACATCCTAATTTAACGGTCAGTCTAAAAGATGAATCAAGTACAAATAAGGGAACGTACAAATGGAATTTAAGGAAAAGCGAAAACAAACTGGAATTGTAAAATACAAGATGGCTGCCGGAAAGAAATGATAAATAGACGTTAAATGGAGACAATGATATTCGAGCAACTGCACTGTACAGGTCAGCTCAAAGAGCCACAGAAGTATTGAAGTCAACGTTTTATAAGAAACATATTTTTGTTATTGTTGACTTGGCCGAAGGAAACAAACTTTTCTTTGGGAGTATAAAAAGAAGTCAGAACAGAAATGATGAAAACATATTCAAATCAAACGATCTTCAGCTTGAGATTCTAAAACTCCTGCCAGCCAAGTTTTAACAGCCAGAGCCCGAATAGTAGCTCAAACATTACATCAACGTAAAACATTTGGCTTACCTGTTATTTTGTTGATGTGAAACGCCCTGTATACCCAGCTTCCAAGTGAGTGAGACATCTATCCACCGTCCAAAGTAATAGCGTGCACCCTTCCTACCTAAACTATCATATTTACGCATAGACGCATATACTTCCTTGATATTGTATTACGTCCTTTCCATCTATACCTAGCTCCATCAGTGTTTATGTGGTACAGTGTGATAGAATTCGGTTGGCCGACGCTACAACAATTCATATGCAAATAGCCTTGCTGCACCCTTTTTGAGGAATGTTGTTTTGCTACATTTTTGAAAAACCCAGGGTTAAAATTTAAACTTATGTGACGCACTGTATTTAAATATCTTGTACGTAAATCAGAAACAGTGTATGTCCCAGGTTGAACTGCTTTATATTTTGAATGTTGCATTACATTACAATAATGTAATGATTAGTTGACAACATGTCATTATATGTAAGAACCTAGAGGTCATCAAAAGGTCATAATATTATGATAGACATCATATCATAAAGTCATTAAAGGGTCATATGATTCAACCTCAAGTCATTAAAGGGCATGTGTTAGAAACAACGAGATCACTAAATGGACATCTGATAAATACCTTAAGGTCATTAAAAGGTCATGTGATAAAATAAGACGTCATTATAGAGCCATGTGATATACACACTGATATCACTATAGGGACATGTGATAGACACCTTAAGGTCATTCAAAGGTCATGTGATAAAACCAAGAGGTCATTATAGAGCCATGTGATATACACACTGATATCACTATAGGGACATCTGATAGATACCTTAAGGTCATTCAAAGGTCATATGATAAAACCAAGAGGTCATTATAGAGCCATGTGATATACACACTGATATCACTATAGGGACATCTGATAGATACCTTAAGGTCATTCAAAGGTCATATGATAAAACCAAGAGGTCATTATATAGCCATGTGATATACACACTGATATCACTATAGGGACATCTGATAGATACCTTAAGGTCATTCAAAGGTCATATGATAAAACCAAGAGGTCATTATATAGCCATGTGATATACACACTGATATCACTATAGGGACATCTGATAGATACCTTAAGGTCATTCAAAGGTCATATGATAAAACCAAGAGGTCATTATATAGCCATGTGATATACACACTGATATCACTATAGGGACATCTGATAGATACCTTAAGGTCATTCAAAGGTCATATGATAAAACCAAGAGGTCATTATATAGCCATGTGATATACACACTGATATCACTATAGGGACATCTGATAGATACCTTAAGGTCATTCAAAGGTCATATGATAAAACCAAGAGGTCATTATATAGCCATGTGATATACACACTGATATCACTATAGGGACATCTGATAGATACCTTAAGGTCATTCAAAGGTCATATGATAAAACCAAGAGGTCATTATATAGCCATGTGATATACACACTGATATCACTATAGGGACATCTGATAGATACCTTAAGGTCATTCAAAGGTCATATGATAAAACCAAGAGGTCATTATATAGCCATGTGATATACACACTGATATCACTATAGGGACATCTGATAGATACCTTAAGGTCATTCAAAGGTCATATGATAAAACCAAGAGGTCATTATATAGCCATGTGATATACACACTGATATCACTATAGGGACATCTGATAGATACCTTAAGGTCATTCAAAGGTCATATGATAAAACCAAGAGGTCATTATATAGCCATGTGATATACACACTGATATCACTATAGGGACATCTGATAGATACCTTAAGGTCATTCAAAGGTCATATGATAAAACCAAGAGGTCATTATATAGCCATGTGATATACACACTGATATCACTATAGGGACATCTGATAGATACCTTAAGGTCATTCAAAGGTCATATGATAAAACCAAGAGGTCATTATATAGCCATGTGATATACACACTGATATCACTATAGGGACATCTGATAGATACCTTAAGGTCATTCAAAGGTCATATGATAAAACCAAGAGGTCATTATATAGCCATGTGATATACACACTGATATCACTATAGGGACATCTGATAGATACCTTAAGGTCATTCAAAGGTCATATGATAAAACCAAGAGGTCATTATATAGCCATGTGATATACACACTGATATCACTATAGGGACATCTGATAGATACCTTAAGGTCATTCAAAGGTCATATGATAAAACCAAGAGGTCATTATATAGCCATGTGATATACACACTGATATCACTATAGGGACATCTGATAGATACCTTAAGGTCATTCAAAGGTCATATGATAAAACCAAGAGGTCATTATATAGCCATGTGATATACACACTGATATCACTATAGGGACATCTGATAGATACCTTAAGGTCATTCAAAGGTCATATGATAAAACCAAGAGGTCATTATATAGCCATGTGATATACACACTGATATCACTATAGGGACATCTGATAGATACCTTAAGGTCATTCAAAGGTCATATGATAAAACCAAGAGGTCATTATAGAGCCATGTGATATACACACTGATATCACTATAGGGACATCTGATAGATACCTTAAGGTCATTCAAAGGTCATATGATAAAACCAAGAGGTCATTATAGAGCCATGTGATATACACACTGATATCACTATAGGGACATCTGATAGATACCTTAAGGTCATTCAAAGGTCATGTGATAAAACCAAGAGGTCATTATAGAGCCATGTGATATACACACTGATATCACTATAGGGACATCTGATAGATACCTTAAGGTCATTCAAAGGTCATGTGATAAAACCAAGAGGTCATTATAGAGCCATGTGATATACACACTGATATCACTATAGGGACATGTGATAGATACCTTAAGGTCATTCAAAGGTCATGTGATAAAATCAAGAGGTCATTATAGAGCCATGTGATATACACACTGATATCACTATAGGGACATCTGAAATACCTTAAGGTCATTAAAAGGTCATGTGATAAAACCAAGAGGTCATTAGAGGGCCATGTGAGGAACACATTCAGATCAATAAAGAGTCACGTAATCAATAAAGCTAATAGAGGATCAATTGATAAACAGCTTATGTCATAATATGGCCATGTGACACCGAGGTCAATATAAGATAATGGGAAAGTCATTCTCAGGTCATCCAGGGTTACATGGTAGACACGTTTAGGTCATTTAACGGCCATGTGATGGACACACTGAAGTCATCGAGGGTCATGTAATGCATGTCAACAAAATGTCATGTGTTCGGCACACTGAGGTTATTAAGGGTCATGTGATGGACACACTGAAGTCATCGAGGGTCATGTAATGCATGTCAACAAAATGTCATGTGATCGGCACACTGAGGTTATGCAGGGTCATGTGATGGACACAATGATGTCATAAATGCGTCACAAGATGGAAAATGATGTCGTCAGATGACCATGTGATCGACACACTGAGGTTACTCAAGGTCATGTGATGGACATTATAGCGCCACTAAGGTGTCATGATACAGACACCAAAGTTACATTTTTCAGAGTAAAAAAAAACGAATTTAAATTCTTCTCAACTGGCTTCTATTACGTTTGTATTTGAATTTTTAACAGGTGAGATTAATAATGTGTAGTTATGCATGTCAATTAGAGCAATGGTAAACAGTTCCGCGTCAGTAACTTTACATGTTATTGAGCGAGTTACGCAATACATCGCTGTGTACTATACTTGATAGCAGGTTAACCTAGTATATACAATGCCTCACTGCACACGACAGTAGATTATATTTCAGAACTGTAAATGAATTGCAGCATTCCACATGATAGTCAATTACAGGTAATTATAAGACCTGTATACGCAATGCCTTGCTACACACGATTGTCTTTTACAAGTAAAGACCTGTATATGACTTACTTCACTTAACACCACAGTCTATTACAGCTTAGACTTGTAGTGTATATGCAATGCCTTTCTACCCACGATAGTCGATTACACGTCACACCTTTATATGCAATGTCTCACTGCACACAATAGTCGACTGTTTAAAAACAACAAATATGTTCACAAATTTGATTATTTTTAATCCTTCATCAAATCTATAAATATTGATTAACGCATCAATCACCTTTTTATCAAATTTTTCTTGCATTGTTGAGAGAAGAAAATCTTTTTTTTTACCGAAAATCTTAACCTAATTAAGGTTGTTATTGAAATTGTACTGGTTTTTGACTGGTAATATTTGAGAGTCAAGAGACATAACTGGATTATAATGTGTATATATGTCATACATATCACTAGTACTTTACACTGTCTTCAAAGAGAGTCGAAATATTACCGACAAAGCAACCCTAATCAATCTATTTTTAACAATATCCACACAAGTTGCACTGACAAAATAGCTCAATGTATCCACAACTTGTTCTCTTTACCAACACAAATGTTCAATGTATCCATTAATTGTTCACTGTTATTCACGAAACAACACAGTAGTTCACGAAACAACACATTAGTTTAAGAATCAGCAAAGTAGTTCACGAATCAACAGAGTAGTTCACGAATCAACACAGTAGTTCCAGAATCAGCACAGTAGTTCACGAATCAACAGAGTAGTTCACGAATCAACAGAGTAGTTCACGAATCAATACAGTAGTTCACGAATCAACACAGTTGTTCACGAATCAACACAGTTGTTCACGAAGATTAGAACCAATACAGTCGTTCAATTTTTCACTTTTACATTTCCTCTTTAAGTTCCTTCAGGTTTTCTTTACACTTCCGTTGTTTGGGATCAAGGAAGTCTGGTATCATTCTGTGTCCAAAACCTTTCCTTGAGAGCTGCTCTTCTGTGATTCCAGTTCCTTCTTTTTCTCCTCTTTCACATCGATCATTTTGTTTGCCATCAACACTTTAAACGCTTCCATTTGGGCCTAAAACAAATGTTATGGTCATGTGATATATTCACATTGCAAATGACAAGAGAATTACATTTCACACTTACGGTCTGCATACTGTATACTAGAACATTAACGCCTCGTCAAACATTCGCCCTTCACCCAGGCAATTAATTTTTAGCTCCGTGTTAATTTTGCCATTCTTGTTTAATTACTATGTATATTATGCTGTTTACTTATAGTCACTGTAATGATAAAATTTGCCCTCTTCACAAGAGGGTGAAAAAGGTGAAAATTTAACTATTGGGAAATTTCTTAGGTAAACATTAACCCGCTTATCAAACAAAATGTTTGAGATATTCATTCACTTTTAACATTTGTAATCAAAAATGATATATACATGTAACTTCAAATAGAAAACAATATCTGTAAGAAAACAGAACAACATGGCTGGCCTATTATTGATGTTTTTTTATAACATGTTAGAAAATATCAATAGCAATACACATATTTTAATGTATGTTAATGCTGTAAGTTGCTATGCTAAACCTATATTGTTATTTTGTGCATCCCTTTCGTTCTCGTACAATGTAGGTGACATACACAAAATACGAGCTGATGTGAAGTTACAGTGTCATATATAGATGTACAACAAATTTATTACAAATCAGGAGTAAAATAAAGAAAACTTTGAAAATTAAATTTTTCAAAATTGCACAGCATCATAAAACATTTCACATCAAGTTGTAAGTATATTTTACAGATGTACCCGTAGACTTGGGTAACTTATTTATGAAATATTTGTGTCGGCGCATTACTAAAAAAAAAAATCCATGTCAGCCCCTTTTGCCCACAGAATATTGACTAGAGATTTGTTACTGTGAACAAAAATGTATGTCTCCCCTTTCACGGTTTAAAAGTTACCGCCTTGACAAGATATTCCTGAAAACTTAGGACTTCTTTGACCTTTGACGTCAAGGTCACAGTGACCTAATGACAGTGCACTGTACATCGTCTGTGTGTGATGCAGATATACTGCAAGTTATATCAGAATATCTTCTAACTTAGCACTTATTTGACCTTATCATTAGAGGAACAGCCTACTGCTGAATTATGAAATGAATATATGAACAAGTTCCAATTGTAATGGGGATCATTACATAAGTCCTCAAAACTGACCCCAAAGTCGCAAATGATGCTTGGATAGAGTTTACAATGCCATCATATACTTGCATACTGAGTTTGATTAAGCAAAATTAGACACAGTGAGGGACCATTGGCATCACCTTGGCGTACACCTTTAAATGTCTGAAACAATCAGATTTCTTTTTACCTTTGACCCTTTGACCTTGAGGTAAAGGCCACAGTGACCTAATGACAAACTTAAGCCTAGTGTTTTTAGCAGTGGTACGAAGATCCTTAAAACAATTTTCAGCCTTAAAAATTACCTCGTGTTCATCCACGGAAATGTCCTGGGTGGTGTACTCCCTGGCCTTGATTAGGTACTTCTTTGCTTTTTCTCGCTCACCGACCCTCACATACGTCTTGCCAAGAAACACATGGTTCCAGATGTAAAAGTCGGGATCAGCTAAGAATAAATAAATGGCCATCAGAGACAACTCACAACCTCACCAAACCTAGCCCTCCTCCCCCGCAGGAATATCATGACTTTCTGAATGCCTACTACTCCTTTATCATACTTGCCAACTCTACCCTATTTAGGAGGGAGACTCTCGATTTTGGACCCTTATATTTAGGAGAGAAATTAACAAATGTAGGGCTTTAGATGCGCAAAATATTTTTTTTAAATCGTGATTTTCAATATATATACATATAAATTTACACACAACCGAGCTATACATGACTGAAATACAGTCTGTTCAGAAAACAATATGTCTGTAATATCACGATAATTTCCTTTGCTGAAAATCCACATTTTCTTTAATCTACTGTGACACAGATCTCACTTCTTTTGGGCTATTTTTTCTATCTTAAGAGAATTTGAAACAGACATTTTAACTGCTTTTTATTAAAACTGAAAATTGTGAAATTCCTGTTTTACCTTCTTCAGCCATCTCAAAGTACTTCAATGCCTGTGAAATGAAATATACTTCAGTTAGTGTGATGAAACTAATTTTCTTTTCTTACCTCTAAGGCAAATCTAAATCTAGAAATAAGCCTTTAAACATGTAAAACAAGAGATCCTAAAAGGATCTCGGTGCCCACCGTCAAAGGATCTTAATCAGATCTATAAAAGATGATCTTTACTTTATGCTTTTCATTATCCTTACAGGTACTAGTCTATTACCAATCCCCATATTTGAAATCCTAAATGGGATGTAATTTATGTTCATCTTGTGTGTTTCCAAAATATCAGTTTGAAGTGCGACCCCGGTGAGGGTCGCTTATTTCAGATTATTATCATAGAGGGCCGGAGTTCTGACGTTAATCGACGACAGACCGATATAAAAAAAGTCGCTAAAACGTCGGAATAATTCGGACTACCCGGCTGCTGGAGAAAAACCACAGACCTGCGCCAAGTACTTGGCGACTGCCTCACAAGGGCCTTTAACCTACAGGTACCCAGTGGTTGAAGGCTAGTGATCGTAGACAGTCAGACACCTTAACCACTCGGCCACCTCAGTCCCCTCTATCAAACTTGACTTTGACCTACCTCTTCATATGTAGATGTGGGCGGGGTTGTATATATGGCACTGGCTATTTTCTTGTAGTACCATGGCATGTCTGCAAACAGGTAACACCTGAAAAGACAGGTGTCAAGTGGTAACCATAGCAACATATTATATGCCACTATTGGGTTAAGTTTTACATTAATTTTTTTTTCACCACTGTAAGGTTAAGTTTTACTTTTCTATTTTTTTTTAACATCAGAGAGTCGATGAGTCAATGAAAGAACTTGAAATAGGGTTTCGAAGACATCTTAGATGAAGAAGATATAAACTAGAACTGTAAGCCAAAGGCTAACTAATACCCCTGTTGCTTTATAAACCAGAACTGTAAGTTAAAGGCTTACTAAGGCAAAGCATTGCAAAGCAATCCATAGTCTCCCACCAGTAACAAGTATTTCGCACTTGTACCGCCATCAAAAAGGGTCAAAATCACAAATTAAAATGCCAGTGCACAACTACATAAGATACCAATCATTGATGCAAAGTTTCGATGAAATTCACCTGTTAGTTAAGGAGGAGTTGTGCGGACAAGTATTTCTCTTACCCTGGACAGATTTATCCTTACTTTTACTGGTGTGAGATTTCCTTGTCTCACCCTAGGGTTGAGACAAGCTACACATGTTTTTTGCACGTTCTCCACAATAAATCTGACGTCACTGATGTGACCCAGAAGAAGAACTACTTTTATGAGGTCACACACATACACAAGTTCGTCTGCTAATCTTGTCGTGTTTGCATTTGACATCAAAGAAGATGTGATTGATTTTAAAATGTTTAAAATATGATGCGTGAACCGTCCGACGCATACATATTTAATACGCTATCCACGTGTTCCTGTTTACAAACAATATGCTTTGTCTTACACTTGGACAGGAAGTGTAAGACATTGCAAAGCCTCATGTTTGGCAAATTAAGAATCTTCCCCCCTCGGGTTGAGATCCCCCTATCTCAACCCCCAAGGGGATGAAAGATTTTATTATTCTCAGACATGTTACTGTGGATCACATCCAAACAGATATCCAGACATCCAGACAGGGTGATTTCACTGTTGTGGGGATATAATAAACTGACAAAATACAACTTTGTAACCAACAAGGAAGTCAAGATATCAGAGTGGAGTATAACAGAATAACTACACATTCACTTAAAATCTTCTCATTTCTGGTTGTTAGCTCTTACAAGTGGGGTGTAAAACTATTTCAGGATACTAGACAGGGGCTAGTAGACAGCAATAATTAACTAGACCGAAACTAAATTCTGCTAACCGACAACTACAAAATATGGATCAAGCTAAAACAACATGATCACATGGTCTATATCACATTCACAAATGAATTTGTTTTTCTTTAAAAAATAAAAGTTCAATTTATTTCATTATTAAGCCAATATGAATTTGTCTAAGACAATCAAATCCAGGAATAATGGAGAAAAAAAACACAAAAACAAAAGCCTTGCCAACTCCTTATTTTGGACCCTAAAAGTGAGCATTTTCAACCAGTGAATTTGCTAAACTCTTCCAGCTGTTTTCTAAGATCTGAGTATTTCATCTGAAGGAAAAGCTCAAAAGATGCCATTTGAACGAGTTATTTTTTCCCCCCAAAATCAAACATACACACATTTTATTTATACTTTTAATTCTCAGTATGCATAATCTCTCCAATGGAAATTTCAAAAAGCTGGCAACTGCTTCTGAAAATCAGTCCAGATATTGGTTCCAGTACTAGAAAGCATCAAAATAAACCTTTGTATGAACATTTTGATAAATATTTGTTACAAAATGTAGTTAGCCGAGTCATAACAATGAATTGGAACACGCATGGGACAGGACAGAAAGGAACAGACATGTGTAACACTATATACCCCCCACCCCCACCCCCATAACTTGGCAAGGGCCATACAAACCCTATGACTTACCAGTGACCTATGGAGTACATGGAAGTGGCGTCCTTTGGATTCAGCTCAACAGCTCTCTGAAATAGAAAACAATGTTGGCCAATTTTGCAACTCATCTACATAATCATAATAGTCCAAAATCCGGGGAGAACACTTTTTGAAAAAATAATCTTTCTTCTAAAAAAAATGTATTCAAAATGTAGTTTATAAATAAATATATATATATAGAATAAAAACATAAATTTTTCAGATCGTCCGCTAGGCCTTTCTGCCTTCTAGGGCTTCTTCAGGCGGATTGATATATATATATGTAAAAACAAGGCAAGGGTAGAACAATTGTATGTGCCCCGATTTTTAGTACTTCAGGGATAGAAATATCCTAGAATTTTGTGCTGAAGAAGCCCACTGTAGGGGCGAAACCGGTCGACACTTCTAATAAACTACAAGGACAACTTATTGCTCCTTCACCTGCTGTGATTGAATCTATTTTATGATATATATATATGTAGGTGTGTTGTGCAGGATGAATCCACTATCCATGTTTATATGAGACATGCCCTTTGCCCTTTATTTTCAGGATCAGATCATTTCTACTGTACTCTGCTACCAAAGTATTACAAGAAATTTATAGTTATTTATCTCCAGACAAAGCCTTGAATTCAAGAACAATGGGTTGTACTATATGAAAAATATACTTCCAGCAGTAAGCCCACTGGCCCATATACACAAAAAGTTTTAAATTCTATAGTTACAGTTCTGGCCCCGGGATCATGAAACAATCACAGACTTAAGTTTTTGCTTCACCAATCACGTATGACGTCACTTTTCATGACGTTATTTCTGATAGGCAAAGTCAAAACTTAAGACAAATTTAGACTTAATTCTTAAAGTTTAGAATACATCTACTTACCACAAAATGTTCTTTTACCAAAAAAGCATTTTCTATTCTCTTCTTATTTCCTTCAAACTCAGCTGTCTTGTCCAGCAGGATAGCATACCACTGTAAAACAACGTTTGTAACATATTCTAGAAATCTCTAAAAATGCATTAATTCAATATCCATTCAAGTGTTGATATAAACCGGGGGTTGTATATTTACCAAAACAATCACAGGGACATGTGACATGCTATTTAGCAGGAGACAAACAAGTACAGCGACACCCACTTTTGTATATCTACCGCTATATATAGCATGTGACAGGTCCCTGTGAAACAAATGATTCAGTTACTGAACATCTTACTTGGATTAATTTCAAAAAAAACCATTTTAATACTTTGTATTAGGGCCAGTCACAATGTATTTTGGAAAACCGATATATCACAGTACTTGGCCATATTGTATCATATTGCAATACAGAAACGAAATAACGAAATATCACTGAATCGCAATATTTTTCAAACGATTATTTAAGGATTAACCTGAATACATTTTTCATGTTATGGAGATAAAGCACAAAAAAACGGAGTGTACTCTAAATAAACTGCAAATGAGAGTACACTCCATTTTTTTGTGTTATAGCTCCATAACATGAAAAATATATTCAAGTCAATCCTTATAATTTAATCTACTAAACACAATCCCTGTTGATATCCACTTTTATTGATGGACTCTTTTCTATCAGAAATAATTACGCCGCTGTATCAGCCAATCAAAAGCGAAGTTACAAAAGTCGATGTCATTTTTTTATGTTATGGGCTGATCATGATAACATAACTTTTAATCCAATCAAAATGCTTGTTACAAGCAAGATTAAATTATTTTCATATTATATCAGCTAGGTGTTTTAACTTTGTACATTCGTCACCTCTGAGGATCATTGACAAAAGGATATGTATCAATATATCCCTTCTGAATTGCAATATATTATAATACACTCCAGGTGCATTAACCCTTTAATCACTGTAGACCATCATGGACTCATCTAGATGAATGCATGGACGAGTCTACTTAAGTTACCTAGGGGTGAAAGGGTTAAGACACCCCTTCTTAATGCAGTAACTGACCTTTTTTTGTCGCAAATCAAAATACCCCTGAATTATATCAGGATATATTGCAATGTAGAAGGATCATTTTGTGATACATATCCCAATGTATTAACACAGGATAAGAAGGGTGCTCAATTTAAACAGAAATCACTGTCAGAATGTCATCAAATTCAATCATCTATAATATGGTTTACACAGGTAAAGATTTGTATTAAACCAGCTATCAATTTTGATATTTTCACCGATTCCCACCACTAGTAACAGCCTATTTATGGTTATTGGCCTATATCACTTAGAATGTGTAGTAAATGTACAAAGTGGAAACACCAAGCAGATACATTAATATATAACCTTTTGAAAACTATTGCGATACAGCAATATTTCATTTCTGCATTGCGATACAATACATTCTACCAAGTTCATGATGTACATTGTAACCACACTTTTCCTTGTTAAATAACCATGGCGATTGACCTATACGCGTGCATGTATTATTTTCAAACAGACCGTAACACCTTCCCAAACAACAAGCGATTCGCGAGACTGGTGGATTTGAGTGATCGAAAAAAAACATCTGGCATAAAGCATGATGTCAGTGTTCAATGTGTATCGTTTGTCCACCAAATGACGACAACTGAAAATGAAAAATATTTCCAAAATATATCCAGGTTAAATATACAAAATAGAACAACTGCCCACAGGGTCGGAAATGACAGAAATGCACAGCTTGTTGTGAAATGAAGACATCTATGCATCATGTGACAAATGTTAGAACAGTCCAATTTAAATAACTAGATTATCTAGGTCACCTTGCTCATCACAGGCATATTGACAATGAGGTACAACGTAGACGCAAGACTGTATTACATCTCACTTGGTAGAATACTTGTAATCAACATAGGTTTGTGTATTACGGTTGAATACATAACTATAGGGGTTCGAAAATGTTGGAAAAAATAATCAACTCGGGCGGCAAGCGGCCTTCGTCCATTATTTTTTCCATGAGTATATGAGCATTTATTTAAGAAGTAATCCATGTATTATAGTGAAATATATAACAAGGGTGAGAAAATGTTGGAAAAAATAATCAACTCAGGCGGCAAGCGGCCTTCGTCCATTATTTTTTCCAACATTTTCTCACCCTTGTTATATATTTCACCATAATACATGGATTATTTCTGAAATACGCCTGTGTATTGTGATATACTGTTTTTCTGATACATTGTGACAGCCTTATACTCATGCAGGTACATATGCAGCTTTTAACCCTTTACCATTAAATTTTTAACATAACTGTTACTAAGCCATTAAAAGTCAACTCATTAACATTGAAGCCAGCATTTTTTTCAGGAAAACTTAAAACTAATGACATTAAAATGTACGTACCTTATGACTGGCAAAGTTGCTGTTGTTGAGCTCTAAGGCTCTCTTAGCATACTCAAATCCTTCAAACATATATGTCCTGCATACGTTTGGAGTCTTACTCATTCTGCTCATATCACAACTAGCTCTGGCTAAACGCCACAATATTTCATCGTCATTCTCATCCAAATTGTCTTTCAGTAAATTATACAGATTTATAGTTTGCCTGGCATCATACAGTTCATCTGCCTTTTCTATAAGTGTTTTATTTCTCAGTCCTCCAGTTTCTGGTTCTGTTAAAAAAATAAAAAAAAAAATATTTTTACAACAAAATATTCTTTGAGTTGGTAAACAATGTTTCAAGTTCTTACAAATGTCATTCATCAATAGGGATGGGCAATCAGTTTAAAATCATAATCGGTATGTAATCGGAAGCAGTAAACTGATTGATGATTGATTGCTTAATCGGTTTATAACTATATGGGAATGAATACCCAAATAAAGTGAGAACAGAGTTGTTCACTGTACATGAAGTTTCGATCTTAAAGTTTTGTAATGAATGGATTTTTCAAGCAACTTTTATGCTGTTTGTCAATCAAATATATAGCAAAATTCATGAGAATAAATGATTGTCAAAGCATACTTTATATTGAAAACATTTAATTTCAAGAATGAACTGATTATATCATTTATGGAATTTGTAATCGATTGCCAGAATCAGAAGAGGAAAACTAATTGATTTTCGACTATTCGATCATCAGCCCACCACTACCCATCACTACTCATCAATTATACCATGCCATGTTGTGATGCAGAGATTTTTTTTTCTAAATTAAAGCAGCCTTTAATTTGGATGTAAAGTGACCCTTATGGTGTCCTCTGGCTCATTCAACTCCTTTACAACTTGTATGCTGTTTTATTGTTTTTAGTAGTGTCCAAATTATCTGCTCCTTTAATGTACCTTTATATGCTGTTGGTTTTTTTAGCAGATTTTTCATGGAAAACTGAACCAAAATTGAAATCAATTTGATCTGGTCAAAAAATCTTTTTACATTTTTAAAGTTTAACATCCTCACAACAACCAGGGTCATAAGAAGATATTTCAACAAACCGTAAAAATAATAAAAATAATAATTTGAAGATCTTATTTACCGCTTTATCACAACCTAGTTTGTAGGTTGTCTCAAAGCAGTTCACAAATTATCATCCGTTGGGCCTTTGCAACCAACCAACATCTTTCTCAACTTCCTGGGGAGCATACAGCCGGTGCTGCCATTTCTGCGCTCACAGCTAGCATTCAACAATTCTAGCACTGCCCAACCACGTACTCATTCACAGCCGAGAAGAATGGAACAAGCGGAGTGAAGTATCTTGCTCGAAGATACAACACAGTGCCGTGACTCGAACCCGCAACTCTTCGGTCACGAGCCCGGCGTCCTACCACTAAACTATTGTGCCTCCTTAAGTATATAGTATTATGATTATTAGAATAAAAGATTTCTATCAATAACGGTGAGCCCTTAATATCTGTAAATCTCCTACCGTTCTTCTTGGCAAACAAGCTTACTGCGCTCACTGTTGCTATGGAGGTTATCACGGCTGGCCTTGGCAACAACTTTACAAGGGAGTATTTCTGAAATGTAAAAATAGCAGAGTATTACTCAAAATCAATATTTGGTCGGATACAATGGTGTGAGAAAGAATTACTAATCAGGGCTTTGTCTAGCATCTACTTTCTCTAAATACTGTGAAATCACTGCTTTTTCTTGTGGTTTTTAATTTCATTGATTTTGTGGGTTACAAATCTTCACCCACAAATACATAGGTGCACAGAGTAATTACAAGTTTGATATAAAGCCATTCTCCACTTGAGTCAGTGGGTACTTGTAATCCAAGAATTCATGTACCAACAAAATGGTGTTTGTTGGGAAACCAGGATATTTGGGCGAAACGAAAATATCTGAATTCAAAGTAGTTTATTTTAGACTAAAACACGTAGTAGTGGGTACCTACACTCTTGGCCAAACTTACACTATTAACATGGCATTTTAATGGATACTCATAGGCTGTTTTTTTGGGGCTGTATATAATTTCCAGAAGTATTCCTGTTCAAATTGTAAATAAATAACTTCCCTTTCTATTGCAAAAGTAATTTTTAGCGTGTTTGAGGTTGGCGGTTTTCCTTTTTGTTTCTAATATTATAAGATATTGTACAAAAATACAGAACAGTATGGTAACAGTACAAAAAAAAATTCTCCAAATAAATCAGTTATTGAGGTCATTTTATTTTCAATGCCTCTGCTAGGAGTCAAATTTTTGGACCTTTAGTTTATAAGTCTAACGCTCTACCTAATGAGCTAAAGGGAAATTCTCCCTAGCCGAATCGACAGGAAGCAACTAGTATTATACCAGGGTGACATATTCCTACTCCAGGATTATACTTGTCTCAAGTTTCCCAGGGGTCATAGTGATTCTTGTGAAAATATCACTAAGTATTTTGTCAATATCTCCCAGGTCCCTACCTGGGCCCCAGTGTAACAGAGGTCATTATTTTTTTTAATGCCTCTTGTAATATATGACGAATGACATAAAATGTTGTTCAAACATATGTGATACAATTCTGGAAACATTCATAACAATATATTGCAAGATATATATATGCAAAACATTGCCTTCATTTATCAGTATGAAATTAGATTAGATTGTCTTAGATCAGTATTGATTGCAATAATATTTCCCCTGCAATTCTGAACATTGAATATTAAGCAGTTTAGTCATAAGTCCTACTTCAGATAAAAATATATATATATATATAAGAAAACGTCACAAGGATTAACTCTACTCCAACAGTGTTTAAGGTTTACATGGCGAGATACTTTTGACAGGCGCCGTGTAACGGCAAAATTATATCTGATAGAATTAGAAAAGGGGGCCTCATATGTTATAGGTAGGATAAACTTGTGTCAGCTGATGAACGGTTCTTCTTGTATCCTGTAGGTTGGGCACAACAACAAAAATGATATGAGTAATAATCCTGCATTTAGGTAATGGTTACCCATTTGAGTCACATTTTTTTTTCAAAGATGGGGAATAAAGTGAAATAAAACAAAAAAAAGTTGAAAGTTCCCAAATGCAGGATTATTACCCATGCCATTGCCATGGCTGTTCTGCCCAACCTGGCTACTGTAGGCTACTTCCAATGAATAGGCTAGGCCTATAGCTAAACAGGTACCGTAGCATTGGCAAATCTGGCTATAGTAAATTTGGCTACATAGTCAAATATGACTATACGTATAAAGGGCGAATGTAAACAAATACACCAGCACTGGACTGGTCCAGCATTTAGGTGACACCGGTGTCTTTTCGACGTCTGTATATTTGTGACGATCCTAAGATATCTTTGAATGCCTGTCACACCCAGCCTACCTGTATTGTTGTCCACCGGTTCCTCAAAAGTTGCACTCTGGCATTGTTGCGATGTAAACATGCTGCAATTTTCTGTGATGGTCTAAAAAATTTAAGCAACCTGTAAACATTCTCCACGGTCGCCGCCATGTTTGTTGTTTCTGTGTAATGGACGAACTGACCTTCAACGCGGAGAGTTCCATGAGCTGAGCTCGCGCCAGATTACGAAAGCAGCATGCGGTCTCCTAGAATATCAAATGCTAATCCGATTGTATGCCTATTGTCGACAAAAGAACTCTTAATCGTCAAATAAAATAATGCAATTCAAATAAAAGCTAGACTACAACCCAACATGACTCTGAATTTCAGTGGTTTCTCTCCGTGGCACTTTGATGAAAAATTCACTTTTATTATTTCGAAAATAATGACCAAGGAGCATGGGAGACCATATATAAAACACATGGCTATCAATTGCTTACAGATTTGAATTCATTTTCGACCGTCAACACTGTGACCCTGACCATGGCGCTCCGGCCTTTGACCCTTCCTCATCACCAAGTGTGATCCGTTACATGCTGTACGCCGGGGAGAGTACTATATGCTTCAAGTGAACCTTGAATATTAATATTATTTATTCTTTAAGGCATTCAAAACTAGTTGAGATACCTCTAGAACTTATACACAACAGAGATATCCGAATTACACAACATTGCCAACAATTATTACTTCTCAGAAGTAACTATATAGCCGTGGGTTTGCATGTGGAAAAATCCTCATTTTAAGAGTTTGAAAACGATTTTCCCACAAATGGTCACCGTGACCTTCTCCGGCCCTGACCCAAATTAAATGGGGTCGTCCATTCCATGTGCTTTTCGGCCTGTGAATTTGGCAAAATCCTCTACTGGGATATAACCTGCTTATAAAAACAAATTTAATTCTTCCATAACGAATATCCCTACCCCCACCCCACTCTTTTAGGAGAATGAGTTGATAAGGTAATGCGGTGCGATAATGTGATGCTGTTGACACAAAGTTACGAATTCTCTTTCCGCATGCAATAGAATTGATGATTTATAGTTCCGCTGCAAGTTCCCGTACAAACATTACCAGAAGAAATTGCATTCATAGAACTATAAATGCAAATTGATCAGCGTCACTTTGAAACTTCTCCTTCCGTCTCGAATAACATGAGACAACGTTTCGAAGCAAACATTTTGGTGAAGTTAGGCTGTTCCAGGAATCTCGTTAGCACTGACGACACAGACACTTTAATATCCAAAGGGAATACGGGCATATGTATACTTAGTTCAAATATGATTTAAATAAAGTGTAAATACGAGGATTGAATGGCATTTTTTTCAATGTTCATACCGGTCGACATTCAATAGAAGGTACACACATAGGACTGCATCTTTGAAATTTGGTATAAGATATAGCATGCTAAAAAAGAATTACATGGCACCATAAAGCTGTATCTAATCCCTTAATAATTTTGATGTTTTTGTTTCAGACGATACCCCCCTCCTTTCACAACACTTGCTTCTGACCAATGGGTTTCACTGAACGTGGGTAGCAGTAATCGCGCGTAAAGCTGATTGCGTGCTTACTTAAATCACCTGCACCCAGCAGCGCGCGTGAAGACAAAGTGAGAAATCAATAATGACTGGCGTCAACAAAACAAAATACTTTTACTAATCTGGAAGTGTCTTATATATATGTGTTTATAAAATGATACGATGTATGTGTTTATAAAATTATACTAATTAATTCAAAACAATTTAATGGTTTCGATCAAAAATCCAGTAACATGTTTTCACAAACAACGACAAACAATGAGTTCTTAAATAAGGTAAAGATGAAAAGCCTCAGCTTTGAGTAAACACCAAATTGCTGATTTCTAATTGCATTTTTGAGTAAAATAGAAAACATTATAATGTCGTCAAAATTCAAGTTGGGTTTGATTTTGGTTTTACATCCTCGAAAACAGCAAAACTCTTCTGACGACGGTGCCTACGTATGATAATTGGGCCACGGGGACCTGATAATTTGTTACAGCTATATTTGGACCTGAACTAAGATGTTAAAAAATACTTTTACACGTTATAGGGGTTTAAGCTAAAATGAGGTGGCATTTTCACCAAAACATATATCATGTGGGTGGCATTTTCGCCAAAAATCGATCTAAACCCCTAAAACATGTAAAATTACTCTGAACACACTTGTTTAAGTCCTAACACAGCTGTAACAAATGCTCAGGTCCCTGTGGATTGGGCCAGCCAAAGTCATAAAGTGTCATCTCGCTGAAACGTCATAACCTGGACGTGTACGTTAGCATGACACTCATTCCGGTCACATATTGTACCGACAACGGGCTAAACAGTCTTTACCGCCATCTATTTAAAGGTGCACGTGAAGCCAATGACAATCTAATTAAAATTATATCTTCACATCGCTTCCGTTTACTGATATGTCGCGTTGAAGGATGTTGTTAGATCTTCAACGCGACATGTCAGTAAACGCACGGACTTAGATAGCAATTCCGTAGTAAACGGGAGAGATGTGAAGATATAATTTTAATTAGATTGTGATGTAATGATTTTGAAACACACTTGCTATGATAAAAGACCGAGAGGTGTCAAATGAGCATCGAAAATGGAGGCGCCCATGACACCACGCCGTGTCTATCTACAAGACAACGTTTGTACAATTTGGGGATTTTGCTTTGAAATAAGAGAGACTTCCTCTTCTGGTGATGTTGTCGTTTAAAAGTTTAACAACCTGAAACTAAAATTAACCAATGACAGGCTTCGCAATATTCAAACAATCACTGGACCAGACGAAAAAGTGGATTTTGGGCTACGAGGTGCTACAGGTCCTGCTTTCTGATTGGTTTAAAGAAAGAGTTATGTCGCGTTTTGATTGGCTTGTTATAAATACGATAATGTATTCATGTTGACCTCTGACGTGACCCTCTACGGGATGTTGTTAGATCTTCAACGCGACATGTCAGTAAACGCACGGACTTAGATAGCAATTCCGTAGTAAACGGGAGCGATGTGAAGATATAATTTTAATTAGATTGAGCCAATGAAGCCCGTAGGGCAAGACTTTGATTTGCTGTTTTTTTCAAAATTAAAAAAATACTGTGATAGTGATGCTTGTATGTATGGCGAGAAGTCTTGTTGTCAAATGGAACAATTCCGTGCTTGTAAATCAGTTTTAAATTTCTGAATTATCTTAGCAAAACGGTCTAGTTGATTTTCTTTCATCAATGGAAAGAAGCTATATAGGCTCATCCTCGATACTCCACTGTGAGGGGGCACTTACGCTCTATCCACTCCTGGAATAATCATGTCTTCGCAAAATTGAAGGTACATGTACACGGCTAGCTAATTGTTTGGTCTCAGGTGAAAAAACCCCTCACCAACCGCTAGGCTGATCCCTGTCAGTTGAAGATTACAAAGGAGCGACCCCCGAGTTCAAAGCCAGTCAATTTAACCGTTACACGGTCGCGCGATTTTTTTTATGTGCATCAAAGGCTCAAACTAGTCCTTTCGTCTCATTCACAAGGTGGCGCACAACGAGCCTTCGAATTTGCTATGACATATTCCAGGGGTACAGAGAGCGAAAGGGGGTGTAACCCCTGGAATATCAAGATGATATAGGCTTTTGTGTCTTATAATTAACGTGTTTGTTATTGGCAATAACATATTTGCTTAAATGAAATGAAATGGAAGACAATGCAATCTCAGACGAAAATTAGGCCATGGACACAACCTTGAAGTACGTTCGTCAACAGCGTTTGTTCCTATTCTGTGCAATATCTTTAACATATCAATGGAAATCATCAAATGTCATGCAAGTCTTCAACAAGGGGAGAGATACGCCCCGAGCAACTACAGGTCTGTTTCATTAACTTGCATTTACTGCAAACTCCTGGAGCATATAGTTGTTTCCAACATTTTAAACAATTTAGACAAGTATAATGTTCTAGTTGATTGTCAGCATGGCTTCAGAGCAAAACGCAGTCGCTTGCCCTAAGTCATGAGTCGCTTGATAACAGTCATAACGGGATCCATACTGACCTTCTTATACTTGACTTCTCGAAAGTGTTCAGTACTTTTTAAGGTCCCTCATTAGAGGCTGCTTAGGAAACTAGGCAGTTATGATGTGCAAGGTTAGACATACAAGTGGATTGAATCCTTCCTGAACTCCCGTACTCAACAGGTGATCCTTGATGGTGAATGCTCAAGCCAGTTACCGGTAATCAGAGGTGTACGTCAAGGCTCAGTCCTTAGACCTCTCCTGTTTCTTGTCTTAATAAATGATCTTCCCTCTTCTGTCAACTGTAAAATACGCGGCCTCTTTCCGATTGACTGTATTCTGTACAGGCATATTTTTTCTATCGAGGATACTCGCACACTTCAAAACGATATCCATTCTTTGATCATATTGGAAAAGACATGGGGTATGAAATGTCACCCTAGTAAATGCACCTCTCTCTTGGTATCTAGATCTAGAGGCCCAATCCAGACTTCTTACTACCTAAATGGTCATAATAGGCTTGGAACTGTCCAGTTCTATCAATACCTTTGAGTAACCCTTTCTCATTATATGGGCTCGGACAAACACACTCACGAAATCACGTCAAAAGCCAACAAAATGCTTGGATTCTTGAAGAGAAACCTAAAAATTAATAATCAGGAAACCAAGACAACAGCTTATAAAGCTATGGTAGGGTCCAGTCGAGAATACTGTTCCACTGTAAGGTTCCTAGACACCAAAAAACGTGAGTACAGAGAAGAGCGGCACGATATACTATACCACCAATCATTATCACAATACCAGCAGTGTCATCTCCATGTTAAAGCAATAAGGTTGTGACACTTTCGAATGCGGGCAAAATAAAATTAGGGTGACCATGTTACACAAATTAAAAATAACTTCATAGCCATTTATCCTGACAACTACTTAAAACATCAAGTCACACGCACTATAGATCAGTCAACCAATATCAGCTCGTCCAGACATCTTTCCACATTCAGTCTCCCTCTTGAACTCTCGTCCTCCCAACATTGTCTTCTCACCTACTCTGACTGCCTTTGAATTAGGGCTCCAGAAACACCACATGTTAACAGATACCTCTTTATGTTAACTTCGTTTATTCTCCCAA